CAAATTTCCTTTTTCTTTTTCTTTTTACCATCCATCTCCGTCCTTCTGACCGTTGTCGTGTAGATTGAAGCACTAGAACCAAGTGAGGCCATGTAGGTGTTGGAATTATGTGTTCTGTAACTATTTTCAGAGTATTTTGGTTGATAGTTTGATCTGGTCGGTTATCGATGAAATACAATAAACTTTGTATTTATATTGTGGTTAACAGACAAACTATATTGTGGTTGATAGTTCGATCTGGACTCTACATGTATAAGAGTTGGACTCTTTGAAAAGACAATATAAGAGGTCCCTACCGAGTCAATCCTCATATATGCGTGACTGATACCATGGATAAGCGCAAAGAAATAGAGAGTAGACTACAAAAAATATTCTCAACACTAGGAGGGAAGGTAGCCGATTGGGGCACGAGAATGACGACCAAGGGGGTCGATAGGGTGGGATGGCAGCCGAAGCAATGGTGGCATGACACAAGCTCAATGAGAGCCATATCTAGGGTTATGGAAGGGCGAGGAATGGCTACAAGGCATACGGAGGTCGGATGGAGAGGAGAGAGAGAGCATAGGGGAGGTTCTACGGTGCGAAGCACGATCAGCGTTGCACCGAGGTTTTATCTTTCTCCCTATTGTTGGGGCTGTAATTGGAAGTCTTGTTAGATCTTGGTATCTTGCTTTTCCTTTCATTCGCCCCCAACCTCTAAAAGCTGCTTAGGGGCCTGGGGACTATGTTTAGGGGCCTGTTGAAGTTGCTCTAACCCTTTAGATCAATGGAATCTGGAAGCAACTGTTGAAGTGCAACATCAAGTCTTCTACTAGCTAGCATATCTCTTGCCCTCCTTTTTAAGCTCTTGCCTTTGCCCTACTTATTCGATTCAAGGCTGCTGGCCAGTCGACCACCTTTGCTGCGTAAGTCAGTGATCTGTCTCTGTCAAATTCTATCACCACGGCCTATACTTTGTTTTCACCAAAGCGGAGAAGCTCACGTTACACCATGGCCCGCCAGGATATCCGATAGAAAAGAGGGCGCGCATCTTTTCCGTTTGGCCTAAAGGCTCCCACGATCGACAAGAGACGGCGTAGTGTCATGCACCGTTAAATAAGCAGAGCAAAAACAGAGAGACCGGGTACGTCAACCTGCGCACACGTCGACGACCATTTTGGTCACACAGTGAATCTGCACGTACGCTGACGGTGAATCAGTGGATAAAAAATGAAGACGTGCATCTTTTCCGTTTAGCCTAAAGGCTCTCACCTCTCACGGCAGTCGACGTTAGACAATCCAGAGTAAAACAGAGAGACCGGTACGTCAACCTGCGTACTTGTCGACGAGCATTTTGGTCAGGGTGAGCGGTGAATCAGTCGGGCTCTTCACGTACGGCGCCAAAGCGGCAGTAGTTTTCCATTTAGTAATTTACATCAGGTGACGGATATTCATTCATTCATGTAGTAGTACTTAATAATTATATATGCAGCCTACACGTCAACTAAAATAAGCACGGGTCCCTAGCATAGTGTAGCATGGCATGCAGCTGCTTAAAGCACCAGTAGTGCTCCCGGTTCATTCACGCACGTAGTACTCTCGTCGCCATCCGTTCCAAAACTTTCACACGTGATGTGACTCCGTCCATGGTCATGGGTCGTGACCACCCGCGCCCTCCTTCATTCCCTCCTAGTAGGTCATGAGGGAAGCCAGCCCCAGCTCTGCCGCCGGCGGCAAGGCGGCTCCTCCCGGACCGCTGCCAGCGCCCGGCTGCGGGCGACGCGACCGGAGCTGCTGCATGAGCCGCTGCAGCGCGAGGAGGCGGTGCGCCTCGCGGAGCCGGCGCGCGAGCACCGCGGCCTCGGCGCGGAGCCGCGCGTTCTGGCGGCGCACGGCGAGCTCGTGCCGCGCCACCGTGTGCAGCTTGGCGGCCAGGTCGCGCTTCTCGGCGCGGAAGCGAGCCACCGTCCCGCGGAGCTCCTCCAGGCGCTGCTGCTTGCGCGCCCGCGAACGCTGCGCCGACAGCCGGTTCGACACCTTCCGCCGCTGCCGCCGCCGGCGCTCCTCCTCGTCCTCAACCATCCCCGCCTGGTCCGCGACCGCCCCGCCGGACGAGCTGGGGGACGAAGTGGACGACGCCGCCATGAGCTCCTCCAGGGTGGGGCACGTGTCGGCCTCCCACGGGGTGAACCCGAACCCGGACGTCATCGCGTCCATGTCAAGCCCGATCGCCTCCTGCAGAGACAGCATTTTCTTTCTTTCTCCTGACACTTAACAGTAACAACCACAACAAATGAAGGACAAAACCGTAATTCCGGGAATCTAGGGGACTTGAGAGAGGGATCGGGGAAAAGGGAAGAAGCGATGAGGAAACTGGCGCTATTTATAGACCCGGCGCGGGCCGAGCCGGGCCGTCGAGCCTCCCTCGCCGCGGGCCCCGCAACCCACCACGCGGGTCCTGCATTTACGTGAGGCTTCTTCTTCCTTCGCCCCGGTGGCTTTCTTTGGCGCCTTTTTCTTCTTGGCGGGTAAAGATTCTACGGCCGTGACAGTGTATCCAATCCCCAGCCGGGCCCGTATAAACCTGCCCACGTGCTCCCATCTTCGCGGCACGGACGGCCCCGATGAGCCCAGCGGCGTCAATGGACGGCGGATCGCGCATGCAAGCCCATGCGGGCCCACGTGGCGCCCCTCCTCCTTTTGCGTGGTGCTCGGTTGGTGCAACGTGGGTCGCGGGCCCACGTAGGTCCAGGTAGGGTGAGGTGGGGGCGCGTTTTAGCTTAATCGCGAAGTAATGGCCGCGAGATGCTGGGCATCGATGGCTGGGGTGCAACTGCATGCAGGTGCCCGCGCACTTGTGGGGACGTCCCATTGGGCGCCGTGCCGTAGGCCACTGCTCGCCGGGACCCGCCGGCGCCGACGTGGCGACCCGGGATCTCGTTCGCGGCTGGGCGACCGCCACGTTAGCCCGACCAACAGCGGGAGGGACACGAGCTTGTCTTAGCCGCTAGCTAGCTGACTACGTGTGGGCGTTGTGTTGTGCATGCTGCTGTCACGATGCCACTTACACAATGGGCTACAATGCGCTAATGCGTCACGTGGTAAATACGTACGTAGGCATGGATAAATCTTTAAACTTTTAAAGCATCCACTGCACAAGCATGTACACGTATGTACGCGTGGTACTAGGATGCTATACGCCTATACGTGTGTGGTGATCGAAAAAGTTGGACGAAAGTTGCATGGGCAATGGCCTCGGCGATGTTCTGCACTTCCGGGAGTGTCAGCTTCAGCCGCCTAATCATGGTTGATTAAAGATGGAGGTGTGTGCGACGGGACGCGATCGATCGGTACATCACACGTCGCCGATCGAGCAAACGTACGTACCGTTCAGTGTGTTCTAGCATGTGCGGGTGCAACGATTGGTTCTTTCCGGATGCGTGGCGACCGAGTTGCGGCAACTGAATTAGGCGCTGGGTTTTCTCCACGTTTCGTTATGTCTACTCGCGTCGATCGATCTCTTATTCGCCAAATGCATGCGGCATCTGCAAGTCCTGGTATCTCGTTTCCTTGCACATTATATGTGATCTGTAGTTGTGGTAGACTTTGAAGTTAGGGCACTTTCACGTCAACCTTCAAACCACACACAACCATTCGGATTTCGCGGTTCTAACGTATTTGTCATCCATCACACTATTCTATCGTCCGCACCACGGTTTGAACGTATTTTTTCCCGCAAACCAAAGACAAACTAGTGGGCTTTGCGGGCGTACAGACCGCTGCCACGTCCATTTATTGCCCGGTTCGCAGGCCACCGTCGTCCTCCGCCCCAAAAACCAACCTTGATATGCGCTTCATGAAAGCGGAGGGCGCCCTTCCCCTTTGGCTGAAGCATATCCCGACAGTGCCACTCCGATGAGCAACACGGCCGAACATGGGAAGCGGAGGCCTTTTGCGCTGAAGCATATATCTATGAGGCTCGCGACAGTCCGGTGAGCGGGTTGCCGGACATAGAGAAGATGATGAAGATCCGCCGCGGCCGGCGGTAGACTTGTCAAGGGTATCCGCATCGTGAGAATAGGTATCCGCCGGTGCTGACCGTAGACTAGTTTTACATTAATCCAGTATAGTTTTTAGTTAAAATATGTCTGAAATGTAATGAATTTCATCCAATTTGTTTAAACGGTTTTTAAATTTTGTATGGGTAGCGTTGGACGGGCGGCTCCCGCATCCGTGTCGCGGACTGGTTCCTCTCTGGTCACGAGCGGATGTAGGAGTAAATTTACGGTCACTGTTGAGGCTCTCAATCATTAGTAATCGTGCACTGCACACACGTGCAATTAGATTGATACTATCTGAGAAGTTTTACCACGTCGTCTCTCACTCTTCTGACCCTCCCAGTCGCCGCATGGATGTTGGGTGAGGTTTGACTTTAGAAATCTAAGCTATGTGGAACCAACATGTATTGATTGGCTTAACCCAATGGCCTTAGCCAAATCCTTCTATAATTAGTAGTACATCTCAGTTTTAAACCGGAGTTAGTTTAAAACTGCAACACTTTTTATGGATAAGAGGTAGTACTACTTTAAACCTATTATAACCACATAGTGCAATGATAAAAATTTATGGCTACCTGTGTTGGTTTGCTGCGGTCTAATATGATGGAGGGAGAGAGTGCAATTAGGGCTTGCCATTATGCAGATTATTTATGAAACTAATGATGTTTATAAGATTAACTAGTAGAATTAATGCTATTAGTGTTGTTTTCAATATTAATTATACGCAATGCAAATATTGTTTCCGTATTGACAGTGATGTGATGGATACATCATTGGAGCAATGTTGGGCGCTGGATATGTGTGGTTGAATGGATGATATTATTTGGATTAACCAAACTCATGCTTTTATAAGTAGTAGAGTAGATAGATAGATAAGTTCGGTCAACTAAAAAAAGGTATAAGTTCGGTAATAAAAGGATACAAAAACTTAAACATAACTGGATACATAGTTTCTTAGTTAATGAAAGAGAAGGTCTATGCATATTATATCTGTATATCTACATTTGTATCAGTTGCATATACATAATCAGCTATCGTATTTTGTACTTTTGGCAATGTACTTAGGAAAAGACGTAAGTTCTTTTAGACAAAAGGCACGAGTTGCTAATGGCCTCTAGTAGTGCAGTCCCAACATGAAGCGACCTGGCTGCTCCCAGCACCTCCTCCGATATGATCATGTCCTTGAGAGAAATGACCATTTAAAAGTGCAATCAACAAGATGTTTAGGCATCATCAACCCAATGGTAAGTTTGTTATGGAGTTTCACAAATCTCAATAGTAGATAGCAAAATATATGGACTAAAAATACGCCAGGGTTGACCAGATAAGCTATGTAAAATCGTGAAAAAAGATCCATGAAACAAACCGAATCACAGTCACAACCTTGTAACTCTCTGACGCCCCGCCACATGAAACGATCTAGAAGGTAGGAAAATAAATTGTGTCTCGTGTTCTCATGTTGGCTCTTCACAACGCTCATCGAATGGGACATGATATTTCATAATTAGCCCGTTCGATGGGATGTGCCATTTTGTAATTTGATTGCTGGAGGAAAGGTGGTTCTCATTAGCTGCCCATGCAAAACTTGATATGGAAGGTTGCAATTCAAGCGTCCCTAAAATGGTCAGAGGCAGTGGCGGAGCTTAGTGGAGAGCAACCTGGGCCATTGCCCCCCCAGCCCATGAGAAAACTAGCATATATCCCCTAGTATTCAGCCCATATGCCCAGTTAAAATCAGCCTAAACTCATATTTCTTGCCCCTCCAGCCCATTTGCCCCTCCATAAAATCAGCCCAAGCTCCGCCACTGGTCAGAGGATTCCTCTTGGATGAGATAAATAACTGGAAGTGAGTGGATGGAAACATTGCCAACTACCTAACCAAGCTCCATTTCTCTCATGTCCACCAGTAAAAACATCAGCAAAAAGGGTTGAATCCATCACCTCTGAACACTTGGCTCACAGTTATAGGGGTTTATAATATATGTTGAAAATAAGTGGTTAGCAGTCTTTCAACGGACTTGGGCTGAGCGACGGATCTAACTAGAACATGATTCAACGCCCATTAATGACCTCGTGTTCAACACCCATTGTGAAGAAATGCTTGGTTTAGTGCACACTTATCCAATAAAGAGATCCTCCTTGCCTCGTGCAGGAAAATATATTATTAACCCCCATATATAGCTAGAACCGGCTCCTTCTAAAGACCTAACTTCCCAATTGAAGCCTATCTGGTCTATTTTTAAGTTTAACATAGATGTCTACTAACAGCAAACCAATATAGCAAAGTCAGATGGACGACGTTCATTACTTCAAACACCTCAAAGAAAAAGATCCAAAAGAAACTTAGTGCCCGCTTGTTGGCGAGCAATTCTCTACACGGAAAGATCAAAAGAATATGTGGATTAACTAAGCAATTGAGTAACAAGAGAGAGAGAGAGAGAGAGAGAGAAGTAACCAAGTGAGTGAACATGTTATCGGCATACCATATGCAAATACCCCACCATCGTATACTACAATATAGAAACTAGTTAAGAATACACGCTAGCACGAACAATAACTTTCTACTCACACAACACACATATAGATATAATACGTTGTGACAACTTCCACAACTGCGTACATCATGATATACGTGACGAAGTCAGTTAGTGGATAGTGTTAGTGAAGCTATGATTCATGGATTAAAAATGACGGTTATCTCCTGCCAAAAAAGAAGAGATATGGACTCAGCTAGTGTTGTAATTGCATATGAGATGAAAGGTATCCTAACTACGTAGAAGTCAAGTGTGATGGTTGTATCACCTTGGTGTGATGATATAAGTTTATAAAAGCATAGAAGGAAAAGCCCAGGGCTGTAAATGCATAATAGATCAGAAGTAAATTTTGTTACGTTGTTTCCAAGCTATGTAATTGGATAACCTTTTGCCATTCACAATATTTTTACTCCCTTGACATGCCCGGTTAAGCAAGTAAAGCAACCAATTGATTGATTCCTTCGAGCTTTAAGGACATGTGGCTTAACCTGGTGCACTAATCAAAGCTTTTTCTCATAATGGCCGAGTAGGTGGATGCCAACAGGACGTATCTGGGACCCAATTTGGAGAATTTGTTAATAAAGTACACTGGTTGTTATGGACTATGGGATACCATAGGAAACAACTAGAAAGGCCTTGTAGTGATATAAAGCGTAAC